TGCCTACGATCCATCCTGGGTTTAACCAGACTGGATTGTGTGAGGAGCTCACAAATCCTTGAAAGATCTGGGCAGGGTCCCATCGGTGAGCTCCTCCGGCAGGCAAGGCTGCGATGGCTGGGTCATGTAGCCCGCATGCCCAGCCACCGCATGCCGAAACAGCTTTTGTTTGGCCGGATTGAGGGGGCTAGGCGGGCGCGGCACGGGCTAGAGAAGAGATGGAGTGATGTGGTACAGGAGGACGTGGAGCTGAGTGGACTTGCCGATGACTGGTACCAGCGGTGTCAAGATCGGCCTCTGTGGAGGAGGCTCGTGAAGGATGCTACTGGGCAGTTGGAGGCAGTCGCCCTCCAACAACAACGGAGGGCGGAGGAGCGACGCTCACAACAGCGAGCGGAGCGCCGGGTGGCTAAAGCACAGCAGGTTGGCACAGTAGGGGGCACAGGTGGTGCATCAGCCAGTCATCTCAGTCAGTCGACCCGTGGCACCTGGGTCTGCCCCGTGACCTCCTGCCAGCGGGCGTTCGACACTTCACGTGGCCTCAGGGTGCACATAGCCTGGCACAAGCGTCGTGGTGACGTCACCGCCACTTAGTGGCGAATGGCGGTTGTTGTTGTTGATGATGGTGATGGTTGTGATAGTGGTGATGGTTGTGATAGTGGTGATGGTTGTGATAGTGGTGATGGTAGTGGTGATGATGATGGTGATAGTGATGATAGTGGTGATGGTTGTGATAGTGGTGATGGTTGTGATAGTGGTGATGGTAGTGGTGATGATGATGGTGATAGTGATGATAGTGGTGATGGTTGTGATAGTGGTGATGGTTGTGATAGTGGTGATGGTAGTGGTGATGATGATGGTGATAGTGATGATAGTGGTGATGGTTGTGATAGTGGTGATGGTTGTGATAGTGGTGATGGTAGTGGTGATGATGATGGTGATAGTGATGATAGTGGTGATGGTTGTGATAGTGGTGATGGTTGTGATAGTGGTGATGGTAGTGGTGATGATGATGGTGATAGTGATGATAGTGGTGATGGTTGTGATAGTGGTGATGGTTGTGATAGTGGTGATGGTTGTGATAGTGGTGATGGTAGTGGTGATGATGATGGTGATAGTGATGATAGTGGTGATGGTTGTGATAGTGGTGATGGTTGTGATAGTGGTGATGGTTGTGATAGTGGTGATGGTAGTGGTGATGATGATGGTGATAGTGATGGTAGTGGTGAATGTTGTGATAGTGGTGATGGTAGTGGTGATGGTTGTGATAGTGGTGATGGTAGTGGTGATGGTTGTGATAGTGGTGATGGTTGTGATAGTGGTGATGGTAGTGGTGATGGTTGTGATAGTGGTGATGGTTGTGATAGTGGTGATGGTTGTGATAGTGGTGATGGTAGTGGTGATGGTTGTGATAGTGGTGATGGTAGTGGTGATGATGATGGTGATAGTGATGATAGTGGTGATGGTTGTGATAGTGGTGATGGTAGTGGTGATGATGATGGTGATAGTGGTGATGGTAGTGGTGATGGTTGTGATAGTGGTGATGGTAGTGGTGATGATGATGGTGATAGTGATGATAGTGGTGATGGTTGTGATAGTGGTGATGGTAGTGGTGATGATGATGGTGATAGTGGTGATGGTAGTGGTGATGGTTGTGATAGTGGTGATGGTAGTGGTGATGATGATGGTGATAGTGATGATAGTGGTGATGGTTGTGATAGTGGTGATGGTAGTGGTGATGGTTGTGATAGTGGTGATGGTAGTGGTGATGATGATGGTGATAGTGATGATAGTGGTGATGGTTGTGATAGTGGTGATGGTAGTGGTGATGATGATGGTGATAGTGGTGATGGTAGTGGTGATGGTTGTGATAGTGGTGATGGTAGTGGTGATGATGATGGTGATAGTGATGATAGTGGTGATGGTTGTGATAGTGGTGATGGTTGTGATAGTGGTGATGGTTGTGATAGTGGTGATGGTAGTGGTGATGATGATGGTGATAGTGATGGTAGTGGTGATGGTTGTGATAGTGGTGATGGTAGTGGTGATGGTTGTGATAGTGGTGATGGTAGTGGTGATGGTTGTGATAGTGGTGATGGTTGTGATAGTGGTGATGGTAGTGGTGATGGTTGTGATAGTGGTGATGGTTGTGATAGTGGTGATGGTTGTGATAGTGGTGATGGTAGTGGTGATGGTTGTGATAGTGGTGATGGTAGTGGTGATGATGATGGTGATAGTGATGATAGTGGTGATGGTTGTGATAGTGGTGATGGTAGTGGTGATGATGATGGTGATAGTGGTGATGGTAGGGGTGATGGTTGTGATAGTGGTGATGGTAGTGGTGATGATGATGGTGATCGTGCTGCTAGTGGTGCTGGTTGTGATCGTGGTGATGGTAGTGGTGTTGATGATGGTGATAGTGGTGATGGTAGTGGTGATGGTTGTGATAGTGGTGATGGTAGTGGTGATGATGATGGTGATAGTGATGATAGTGGTGATGGTTGTGATAGTGGTGATGGTAGTGGTGATGGTTGTGATAGTGGTGATGGTAGTGGTGATGATGATGGTGATAGTGATGATAGTGGTGATGGTTGTGATAGTGGTGATGGTAGTGGTGATGATGATGGTGATAGTGGTGATGGTAGTGGTGATGGTTGTGATAGTGGTGATGGTAGTGGTGATGATGATGGTGATAGTGATGATAGTGGTGATGGTTGTGATAGTGGTGATGGTAGTGGTGATGATGATGGTGATAGTGGTGATGGTAGTGGTGATGGTTGTGATAGTGGTGATGGTAGTGGTGATGATGATGGTGATAGTGATGATAGTGGTGATGGTTGTGATAGTGGTGATGGTAGTGGTATAGAAACCCCACCCCTTGCGTTCGTCCACCGCTGGACTGACGCCTCCCTCCCTCCCTCCCCTCTGTGCGCCGTGAGTCGATTTGGAGACCCCCAGCGCTCGCCACTGACGGTAGCCGTGGCCGGGCACCAGACACCAGCACACTTCACCACGATGGTCAAACAACACCGGACAAGGGCGGGAAGGGCCATTATATGACCAGCGTGGTGAAGTATGGTCAAACAACCATCCCCACGGCCGCCGTCACGGCGCTAGGGGAGGGAAGGCCTTCGTCCAGCAGTGGACTCACAAAATGACAAAATGCGCGTGCTCACTGCGGTGTTGCATGCCGCCGAATCGCGCCTGCCATCAGCAGGGTCGTCTACGTACGGTGCGAAAGAAGTCCGTGCATGCGAGAGCTTGCGACAGTGGGGCGCGCGCCACGTGCTCACGGAGGGCTCCCTGGCTCTGTGGGTGGACTACGGGGGGTGGGGGGCGGTCACAGAGGGGGATGCGACTCCAACGCCCCCCCCCCTTCTCCTCTCCGGGTGCCCCCCCCAATCCCACCAACCCCCCCCAGTTCCAGCACCGCTCTTCAATCGTCCATCACCGGCACACAAAACAGTCGAGAATCGCCAACTCGACAACACGACACAGACACAGCCGGAGACGTTTCGGGCTGTGACCCCTTTTCTCTCTCTCTCTGTGCAGAAGGGCCGCGACGTTTCGGGCAATTCAGAAAGGGCCGATGCAGTAGGGCCATTGCCCGAAACGTCGTCTAATTGATCGGTTCTCTTTTGTTGTCGTCGTCGTTTAAGGCCGCAGTGGCCCCGACGAGCCGCTAAATTGTGCTCGATCACGTGACCGGCGTGCTTTCTTGTCGACGGTGTCCAGGAATCGGTGGAGTTTTATTCCAAAAAAAAACTTCACCCGCCAACACCAAGAGCCCTCGGCAGACTGCTGGTGTCAGCGAGCAGCGCCTTGTGAAGGCCGGCACCACGGTCGTTCACACACTTGAGGCTAAGTCGACCTAGGAGGAGACCCAGGAGCGGTGTCAGAAAATCGTCACTCGTGGCGGTGGCCGTGAGTGGGAATCGAACTCGGGTCGCCGGGTTCGTGGCGTAGCGCTAAGCGCTGCGCCACCGCTCCCTGCACACGCGTCTCGGGTGCACACGCTTCACATCCATAGCCGACACCGCGTGTGCATCTATGGTGCAATGCACGTGACACCACCCAGTTGTTAACCATATACATGCGCACACTGTCATTAGTGCGGTATCTGTTATTGCATCGCCTGTGTGACTTCCTCCGTTACAGCCAATATCGCGTCCTCTAAGGACGCGTGTACACACACACAGACACGTACACACACACAGACGCGTACACACACACAGACGCGTGTACACACAGACACGTACACACACATAGACACGTACACACACACAGGCGCGTACACACACAAAGACGCGTGTACACACAGACACGTACACACACACAGATGCGTGTACACACACACAAACACGTGTACACACACAGAAACGTGTACACAGACACGTATACACACACAGACACGTACACACACAGACACGTGTACACACACCCCAACGCGTGTACACACACAAACAGACGCGTGCACACACACAGACGCGTGTCATGTACACACAGACGCGTGTCATGTACACACAGACCTGTGTACACACACACAGGCGCGTGTACACACACAGACGCGTGTCATGTACACACAGACGCGTGTCATGTACACACAGACGCGTGTACACACACACAGACGCGTGTACACACACACAGACGCGTGTCATGTACACACAGACGCGTGCACACACACAGACGCGTGTCATGTACACACACAGACGCGTGTACACACACACAGACGCGTGCAGACACACAGACGCGTGTACACACACACAGATGCGTGTACACACACACAGACACGTGTACACACACACAGACCGGGCTGAGCGCGTGTCTGTGGAGCAAGCCGTGGTGAATAAATCCACCCAACCACTCCACTCCACGGATGTTGAATTTTCCCATCCTCCGCTGTGCACTCAGCCGCTGCGCTCGGCCTCATTAATTATTCACCCCCCTCGCCCCCCTCCCCCTCGCCCCCCCTCCCCCTCGCCCCCCCTGGTGTCCTGCAGACTACAACGAGCGGGAGGGGGGTGCTGAGCTGTCGTCGTGCGACGACTCCTCGTGCCGCTACGGCGGCGTCTGCACCGAGGTGGGAGACGACGTCGCCTGCGTGTGCAGCGGATTCCAGGTGAGCGGCAGCCGCGGTGGTGTGGGTGGGTGTGGGTGGGTGGGTGTGTGTGTGTGGGTGTGTGTGTGGGTGTGTGGGTGTGGGTGGGTGTGGGTGTGTGGGTGTGTGTGTGTGTGGGTGAGTGTCTGGGTGGGTGTGTGGGTGAGTGTGGGTGTGTGGGTGGGTGTCTGGGTGGGTGGGTGAGTGTGTGTCTGGGTGAGTGTGTGTGGGTGAGTGTGTGTGTGGGTGAGTGTGTGTGTGGGTGAGGGTGTGTCTGGGTGAGTGTGTGTGTGGGTGAGGGTGTGTGTGTGTAGGTGAGTGTGTGTGGGTGAGTGTGTGTGGGTGAGTGTGTGTGAGTGTGTGTGGGTGTGTGTGTGTGGGTGAGTGTGTGTGGGTGAGTGTGTATAATAGGTGTTAGCGCACTCCGCCACGAATCCGAAAACCCGAGTTCGATTCCCGTTCACGGCCACCAACACCACCGGTGACGATTACCTGAACCATTCCTAGGCCTCCCCTACGTCGACTCAGCCTCAAATGAGTACCTGGTGCGGTGTGCAGTAAACATCGCCACTGGAGAGACAAAGGCGGTCGGGCGTGGTGCTGACCCCCCCCCTCCACCCCCTATTTTGTGTGCCGTGTCGGCCTTCGTAAGCGCTCGCTGACAGCACTTGCCCCCACAGTCTGTCAGAGACTACATGGGGGATCTTTCCCTTTGATGACAACACACATCTTATTTATCCAGGAAAGGCATGATACTCTTTTTCAGGAGGGTTTTTATTTTACGATGTTCTCAGCCAAGCAATGATGAGTTATTGTTTAATATTCGCCTGGAAGGAAACCGGAGCGCCCGGAAAATAAAACCCCCACGCACGCGAGGGGGCAACGCTGTATCCCCGTACAAGATATAAACAGCTGGCGATAGTCCACTTGCTCTGCCGCCTTCCCCTGGCGAGCCAGGGTTACACGGCTCCCCCTCGACACCCACGGAAAGGGAGTCTCACGCAGCGTCTGTGCCGGTGACACACCAACCTTCACTGCTGCTGCCTCCGCACAGTGCCGGGCTCCGGGCAGCCGCGCGCAGCAGCAGCAGCAGCGAGGGAGGGTGATGCGCTGCCACTGCTGGTGGTGGTGGTGGGGCACACAGCATCCGGCAACACAGGTGGCGGATACACAGCGTGGTGGTCCTGCAAGCGACGAGTAGAGAGAGCAGCGCGGGTGACGTCTGGGCCAACGTCCCGACTCCTCCTCTTCGTTGCACGCAGAGGGCGACGATGCAGACGATGCCCACGAGTCATGTTGGTCACTACCACCTCGGGAGGCACACGTTACCAGTGTCCACCAGGGGCAGTGTCCACCACGTGCAGTGTCCACCAGGGGCAGTGTCCACCAGGGGCAGTGTCCACCACGTGGAGTGTCCACCAGGGGCAGTGTCCACCAGGGGCAGTGTCCACCACGTGCAGTGTCTACCACGTGCAGTGTCCACCAGGGGAAGTGTCCACCAGGGGCAGTGTCCACCACGTGCAGTGTCTACCACGTGCAGTGTCCACCACGTGCAGTGTCCACCACGTGCAGTGTCCACCAGGGGAAGTGTCCACCAGGTTGCAGTGTCCACCAGGGGAAGTGTCCACCACGTGCAGTGTCTACCACGTGCAGTGTCCACCACGTGGTGTTAGATCTGGAGGTGGGGGTCGCGGTTAGAAATTAATTTATTAAATCAACAGTTGCGAAGTGCAGACCCAAATGGCCGAGACGCCAAGCGGCCAGGAACAAACAGCTCCATTGGGAGTGTGATCGGTTCGAGTGAATCGCCTTTATTGAACAGAGCAAGGTCATTGTTGTGTTTGTACGAGCTTGGGAAATGAGACGGTGGGAGAGAGACAGAGAGGGGGGTGGGATTCCACAGTCGAGCCGTGCGAGAGGAGACGCAGAGAGAGAGCGAGGCGGCCTGCGGTGTGCTGCTGGTTGTGGTGGTTGTGGTTGTGGTGTTGCTGCTGGTTGTTGTGGTGGTGGTTGTGGTGCTGCTGCTGGTTGTGGTGGTTGTGGTGGTTGTGGTGCTGCTGGTTGTGGTGGTGGTTGTGGTGGTTGTGGTGCTGCTGCCGGTTGTGGTGGTGGTTGTGGTGCTGCTGCTGGTTGTGGTTGTTGTGGTGGTTGTGGTGCTGCTGGTTGTGGTGGTGGTTGTGGTGGTTGTGGTGCTGCTGCTGGTTGTGGTGGTGGTTGTGGTGGTGGTGGTTGTGGTGGTGGTTGTGGTGGTTGTGGTGTTGCTGCTGGTTGTGGTTGTTGTGGTGGTTGTGGTGCTGCTGCTGGTTGTGGTGGTGGTTGTGGTGGCTGTGGTGCTGCTGCTGGTTGTGGTGGTTGTTGTGGTTGTGGTGGTGCTGCTGCCGGTTGTGGTGGTGGTTGTGGTGGCTGAGCACAGCTGGATGAGACGAGAGTGCGGCACTGTGTCGGGCTGGCCGTTTAGGGTTGGGGGTAGCGCTGCTCCACGATTGGCTGCCGTGCCCCACATCCACAACCGGTGTCCGTGCCGTCCGTGTCGGGGGGTGGCCCCCTGGGAGTCCCCGCCGCTCCCCGCCGCTCCCCGTGACACCAGTGGCCGCGTCTGCAGCATCTGGTGTCACTGGGGGCTCGGCCGTCGTCAATCAGAGAACAAAGCGGGGGGAGGTGGGGGGCAGTGGTGGCGCCCGGCTCGTGGGGTTGGCGGCTCAGCCAGGGATAGGGAGGGGGGAGGAGGGGGCCTCGTGCTGGCGACGAGGTGACCCCGAGGCGAGGTGACCCCGAGGCGAGGTGAGAGACGGGGCTAGCTGTGACGAGAGGCCGGGCGAGCGAGGGGCACGGTGCCGTTGTTGGCGCGGCGAGGGGTGGAGGCACGGTGACGCTCCGCCGGCGAGCCGACCCCGGCCGCGCAGCATCTTCACTTCACCGCCGCTGTCGCCGTAGGGGAGCGCGTGGCCCCACGTGTCGCTGTGGGGGAGCGCGTGGCCCCACGTGTCGCCGTAGGGGAGCGCGTGGCCCCACGTGTCGCTGCCGCCGTGGGGGAGCGCGTGGCCCCACGTGGACTCGCGCGCCGTTGCCGCCGCGTCACCCCCGCGGGCATCGTGAGGTTTCCCCCCTTCGGACGCGCCGACAAAAGCGAAAGCGCTCGGCCTTTTGGAAGTTCCCTTCTTGACAAAATCTCAGGACGGAGTCCATCCCAGACGCTCGGCATGGGCGTCGTCCCCACCCCTCCACGCACCGGGCGCGGTTGAAGCGGCACCGCCCGACACGGGCATCGCCTTGCCGGCACCGCCTTGCCGGCACCGCCTTGCCGGCACCGCCTTGCCGGCACCGCCTTGCCGGCACCGCATTGCAGGCACCGCCCGACGCGGCGGCGTCGCCGCCTCTCGACACGAAGGTCGCTCGGAGGCTCTCCGCCAGCAGGGCCGCGCGCCGCCGCTGCGGTCGCTGCTTTGAGCGCCGTGCGGCGTCTTCGTCTCGATCCAGACAAAGCGCGAACGAAGCGCGGTTGGCGCGATGCACGCCGCTTGGACACGGCAGACGGCGTCGCAGATGCCGTCGTGGCCACGCAGAGTTCCGCTGCGAGTGTGTGTGCGTGCGTGCGTGCGTATGCGTGCGTGCGTGTGTGTGTGTACGTGTGTGTGTGTGCGTGTGTGTGCGTGCGTGCGTGTGTGCGTGCGTGTGTGTGCGTGCGTGTACGTGCATGTGTGTGCGTGCGTGCGTGTGTGTGCGTGCGTGTGTGTGCGTGCGTGCGTGTGTGTGCGTGCGTGTACGTGCGTGTGTGTGCGTGCGTGCGTGTGTGTGTGTGCGTGTGTGTGTGCGTATGTGTGTGTGTGCGTGTGTGTGTGTGCGTGTGTGTGCGTGCGTGCGTGTGTGCGTGCGTGTGTGTGCGTGCGTGTACGTGCGTGTGTGTGCGTGCGTGCGTGTGTGTGGGTGCGTGTGTGTGCGTGCGTGTGTGTGCGTGCGTGTGTGTGCGTGCGTGCGTGTGCGCGTGCGTGTGCGCGCACGTGTGCTTATCTCGATAGCGATCATCGTGCAATTGAATAAGCCGGCATCTTCCGATTAGAGCCGGCTAATTGATTCGTGCGATGGAGGCGGCGAGGCGGCCGCCGTGCGGGGCCGCCGTGCGGGGCCGCCGCTCCCCTCCCGTGCCCTTCAAGCGCGACCCACGCCGACTCCGCGTTCCGTCTCACGTCCCCGACCTTCCGTGGACTATGCCCCCTGTAAATGCGTCGATGCAACATATCAATGTTGCATCGACGCGTTTACAGACAGACACTGTTTGTTGTCTTTCCCCCCCACGGTTGGCATCGTACGGTGCAAAAAGAAGTTGAGCATACTGTACATACAAGGTTCTGTCTGTTTCATCACCGATAAATAAATATATTTATAATCGAGCAGCGTTTGTTGAAGCGGTCCAACTCTGGACCAGTTTCAATTTCACGAGCGCCATCAGCACCAAACGTGGCCACAGTCGGGGAGCCAAAGTGGGATGGGCCTGCAGGCGATAGGCGCACGGAGCGGGGCACGGAGCGGGGCACTGAGCGGGGCACGGAGTGGGGCGCTGAGCGGGGCACGGAGCGGGAAATGGAGCGGGGCACAGAGCGGATCACTGAGCGGGCTATGGAGCGGAGCACTTAGCGGGGCACGGAGAGGGGCCGCCGCTGTGCCGCTTGGCTGCGGCAGACCGTCCAATCACGCGCTCCGCCGGGGCGATGCACGAGAGGCGCTCTCTGGGAGTCGCGGCTTTGCCGCTTTCGGATAGCATGGACGTGCAGAGACGCGCCGTGGCTTCCTCGCCCTGACCGTCTTTCCCTCATCCCCCCCCGCCCCCCTCCGTGTCACCGCTCAGTGCTCCACGGAGTACTCCCCGGTGTGCGGCTCCAATGGAGACACGTACCAGAGTGATTGCTTCATGCGCCAGGCGGCCTGCAAGCGCCAGGAGGACATCAGCGCCGCCACGGACGGGCCCTGCTATGCCGGTAAGCAACGCGGGGTCAGATGCGGCACGGTTGCGGTGGCGGTTGTGGTGGCAGTGGTGGTGGCGGTGGTGGCAGTGGCGGTTGTGGTGGCGGTGGTGGTGGTGGCAGTGGTGGTGGAGGCGGTGGCGGTTGTGGTGGCGGTGGTGGTGGTGGCTGTGACTGGGCAGCGCGCACCGCTGGGCCCCGCTGGGCAATGTTGGATCCTGGTCTAGGGGTCGATAAAATGGAAGCTAATTTGAGGCCCCTTCCATCAGAATGTCGACTTTCCACCACTGACTCTGCAGTGCTGTAAACAGCAGACGAGCACCAGTGCCTCAGCGTGGCTCATTGTGGCTCGTTTGAGCGGGGAGCTGCTGTGCGTCTCTCCGTGAGCATCGCCTGACCTCGCACACTCGGCGCCTCCTCCGATCCGTGGTCTGTGCACACCGCGGTCTGGAGCCCTTTCCATTTTAACGACTGCGTCGTTATTGGTGCGAGCGGTCCGTGACAAATCTTTGACAGTGACCGGGCGGGTCCAGGAAGGGTGGGAGCCACCGGCCTGGTGGAGCTCCTTCCACCGTGGTTATCGTCAGTGCATATCCGCAGCAGTATTAACCCGGGCGGCCTGCAGCATCCAGACCACGAGCTTCTGCGGCGAGCGCGCTGCGCCTGGGCCGTGGCACAATCGGGGAAAAGGAAAACACTAAAACAACACGCCACGCGAATCGACGTGTTTGCCACGTCACTTCCTCCGCTCGCAAGGTGTCGCGAGGCGTCGCGAGGCATCACGAGGCGTCGCGAGGCGTCACGTGGCCACGGGCCGCGGTGAATCGTCGTCCCGTCGGGTCTGGCGAGGTCGGACCGAGCGTGGCTCGGTCCGACCTCGCCACGGACGATCGCGCGGCTAAACGCGCAATTAGCGCCGGCGCGCCCGGCCCTCGCTTAAGTAACACGAAGCCCGCCTCTGGCGCAGATTTAATAATGCACGCCGCCCTCGGCAGTTGCTGTGGACGATCAATACGCTGATATTTGGGATGATCCATCACCCTGACTTACGCCGGCCGTCCGTAAAATGCGCCGCTTGCGATTAATTATTCACGTCGGGGCTCGGCCTCCACTCACCACGGCGGCGCTGGACACACGGTGGCTCCGTCACCACTGAGCCACCGTCACCACTGAGCCACCGTCACCACTGAGCCACCGTCACCACTGAGCCACTGAGCCACCGTCACCACTGAGCCACCATCACCACTGAGTCACTGAGCCACCATCACGACTGAGCCACCGTCACCACTGAGCCACCGTCACCACTGAGCCACCGTCACCACTGAGTCACTGAGCTACCGTCACCACTGAGTCACTGAGCCACCGTCACCACTGAGCCACCGTCACCACTGAGCCACCGTCACCACTGAGCCACCGTCACCACTGAGTCACTGAGCCACCATCACCACTGAGCCACCGTCACCACTGAGTCACTGAGCCACCGTCACCACTGAGTCACTGAGCCACCGTCACCACTGAGCCACCGTCACCACTGAGCCACTGAGCCACCGTCACCACTGAGCCACTGAGCCACCGCCAAGGTGGTGCCGCGTGCTCCTCTGCTGCTCTCACGCAGCTTCTGCTTCTCTCATTGCAGTGGAGACCGGATCTGGGTCAGCGGACGGAGGTGAGTTGCGCCTGCAGGCCGATGGTGACGCACGCACATGGCAGTGATGCCACTCGAGTCGCTTGCTCTGAGTTGTTGTTGTGGGGCCGATGGTGAGGCCTCCCCTCTCAGAGGCAAGATGCTGGTTCAGCAGTAGTGTCTCCAACACCCTCTCAGAGTGAGCAGCAATTACCAGAGCATCAGCGTACATAACGTGGCTGAGCGATAAGGAGCCATCCCTCGACCGCACCTGGGCATCGATCACCCTCCCATTGTCAAAGAAGATGTTAAATAGTGTAGTGGCCAAAGGAGAGCAAAGTTAACCGGGAATGACTCCCTGCCACGCCTGTGCACGCCCCGGTACGCAGACACTCCTGCGTACACCCCCACCTGTACCCACCCCTCTGCGTGTACACACTCACACGCAGAGACTCAGCGGATTACACGGAGCTGCAGGAAACCGATGCAAGTGAAGAGCCCCCCCACTGCCGCTCTCTCCCCACTCTCTCCCCACTCTCTCCCCGCTCTCTCTCCACTCTCTCCCCGCTCTCTCCCCGCTCTCTCCCCACTCTCTCCCCGCTCTCTCCCCGCTCTCTCCCCGCTCTCTCCCCGCTCTCTCCCCACTCTCCCCACTCTCCCCGATCTCTCCCCGCTCTCTCCCCACTCTCTCCCCACTCTCTCGCCACTCTCTCCCCACTCTCTCCCCGCTCTCTCCCCGCTCTCTCCCCGCTCTCTCCCCACTCTCCACACTCTCTCCCCGCTGTCTCCCCACTCTCTCCCCACTCTCCCCACTCTCTCCCCGCTCTCTCCCCACTCTCCCCGCTCTCTCCCCGCTCTCTCCGCTCTCTCCCCGCTCTCTCACCGCTCTCTCACCGCTCTCTCCCCGCTCTCTCGCCGCTCTCTCCCCACTTTCTCCCCGCTCTCTCCCCACTCTCCACACTCTCTCCCCGCTGTCTCCCCACTCTCTCCCCACTCTCCCCACTCTCTCCCCGCTCTCTCCCCACTCTCCCCGCTCTCTCCCCGCTCTCTCCGCTCTCTCCCCGCTCTCTCACCGCTCTCTCACCACTCTCTCCCCGCTCTCTCGCCGCTCTCTCCCCACTTTCTCCCCGCTCTCTCTCCGCTCTCTCCCCACTCTCTCCCCACGATCTCCCCACTCTCCCCACTCTCTCCCCGCTCTCTCCCAAATCTCTACCCACTACAGCCTCACAGACCCCCACTATAGCTACACAGACCCCCACTACAACCACACAGACCCCAACTACAGCCTCACAGACCCCCACTCAAGCTACACAGACCCCCACTACAACCACACAGACCCCCACTACAGTCACACAGACCCCAACTACAACCACACAGACCCCCACTACAACCATGCAAACCCCCACGACAACCACACAGATCCCCACTACAGCCTCACAGACTCCCACTACAACCACACAGCCCCCTGACTACAGTCACTCAGACCCCCACTACAGCCACACAGACCCCCACTACAGCCACAGAGACCCCCACGACAGCAACGAAGACCCCCACTACAGCCTCGCAGACCCCCACTACAACCACACAGACCCCACTACAACCACACAGACCCCCACTACAGCCACACAGACCCTCACTACAGCCTCACAGACCCCCACTACAGCAACACAGACCCCCAATAGAGCCACACAGACCCCCACTACAACCACTCAGACCCCCACTACAACCACGCAGAACCCCACTACAGCGACGCAGACCCACACTACAGCCACGCAGACCCCCACTGCAGCCACACAGACCCCCACTACAGCCACACAGACCCCCACTACAGCCACTCAGACCCCCACTACAGCCACGCAGACCCCCACTACAGCCACAGAGACCCACATTACAGCCACACAGACCCCCACTACAACCACACAGACCCCCACTACAACCACACAGACCCCCACTACAGCCACTCAGACCCCCACTACAACCACACAGAACTCCACTACAGCCACGCAGACCCCCACTACAGCCACACAGACCCTCGCTACAGCCACACAGACCCCCACTACAGCCACAGAGACCACCACTACAGCTACTCAGACCCCCACTACAGCCACGCAGACCCCCACGACAACCACACAGATCCCCACTACAGCCTCACAGAATCCCACTACAACCACACAGACCCCGACTACAGCCACTCAGACCCCCACTACAGCCACACAGACCCCCACTACAGGCACACAGACCCCCACTACAGCCACAGAGACCCCCATTACAACCACACAGACCCCCACTACAGCCACGCAGACCCCCACTACAACCACACAGACCCCCACTACAGCCACGCAGACCCCCACTACAGCCACGCAAACCCCCACTACAGCCACACAGACCCCCCACTACAACCACACAGACCCCCACTACAACCACCCAGACCCCAACTACAGCCACGCAGACTCCCACTACAACCACACAGACCCCCACTACAAACACACAGACCCCCACTACAACCACAAAGACCACCACTACAGCCACTCAGACCCCCAATACAATCACACAGACCCCCACTACAGCCACAGAGACCCCCACTACAGCCACGCAGACCCCCACTACAGCCACACAGACCCCCACTACAACCACACAGACCCCCACTACATCCACACAGATCCCCACTACAGCCTCATAGACCCCCACTACAGCCACTCAGACCCCCAATACAATCACACAGACCCCCACTACAGCCACAGAGACCCCCACTACAGCCACGCAGACCCCTACTACAGCCACACAGACCCCCACTACAACCACACAGACCCCCACTACATCCACACAGATCCCCACTACAGCCTCATAGACCCGCACTACAGCCACACAGACCCCCACTACAGCCTCGCAGACCCCTACTACAGCCACGCAGACCCCCACTACACCTACACAGACCCCAACTACAGCCTCACAGACCCCCACTACAGCCTCGCAGACCCCACTACAGCCTCACAGACCCCCACTACAGCCACACAGACCCCCACTACAGCCACGCAGACCCCCACTACAGCCACACAGACCCCCACTACAGCCACACAGACCCCCACTACAACCTAACAGACGCCCACTACAACCACGCAGACCCCAACTACAACCACGCAGACCCCCACTACAGCCACACAGACCCCCACCACAGCCACACAGACCCCCACTACAACCACTCAGACCCCCACTACAACCACGCAGACCCACACTACAGCCACGCAGACCCCCACTACAACCACACAGACCCGCACTGCAGCTACACAGACCCCCACTACAGCCTCACAGACCCCGACTACAGCCTCGCAGACCCCCACTACAGCCACAGAAACCCCCACTATAGTCACACAGACCCCCACTACAACCACTCAGACCCCAATACAACCACACAGACCCCCACTGCAACCACACAGACCCCCACTACAACCACACAGACCCCCACTACAACCACGCAGACCCACACTACAGCCACGCAGACCCCCACTACAACCACACAGACCCCCACTGCAGCTACACAGACCCCCACTACAGCCTCACAGACCCCGACTACAGCCTCGCAGACCCCCACTACAGCCACAGAAACCCCCACTATAGTCACACAGACCCCCACTACAGCCACATAGACCCCCCACCACAGCCACACAGACCCCCACAACAGCCACAGAGACCCCCACGACAGCCACGCAGACCCCCACTACTACCACGCCGACCCCCACTACAACCACGCAGACCCCCAATACAGCCTCACAGACCCCGACTACAGCCACTCAGACCCCCACTACAACCACGCAGACCCCCACTACAGCCACACATACCCCCACTACAGCCACGCAGACCCCCACTACAGCCACGAGGACCCCCACTACAGTCTCACAGACCCCCACTACAACCACGCACACCCCTACTACAGTCTCACAGACCCCCACTACAGCCACACAGACCCCCACTACAACCATACAGACCCCCCCACTACAACCACGCAGACCCCCACTACAGTCTCACAGACCCCCATAACAACCACGCAGACCCCCACTACAGCCACGCAGACCCCCACTACAGCCACGCAGACCCCCACTTCAGCCACATAGACCCCCAACACAGCCACACAGACCCCCACTACAGCCACAGAGACTCTCACGACAGCCACGCAGACCCCACTACAACCACGCAGACCCCCACTACAACCACACAGACCCCCACTACAACCACGCAGACCCCCAATACAACCACACAGACCCCCACTGCAAACACACAGACCCCCACTACAACCACACAGACCCCCACTACAGCCACATAGACCCCCCACCACAGCCACACAGACCCCCACTACAGCCACAGAGACCCCCACGACAGCCACGCAGACCCCCACTACTACCATGCAGACCCCCACTACAACCACGCAGACCCCCAATACAGCCTCACAGACCCCGACTACAGCCACTCAGACCCCCACTACAACCACGCAGACCCCCACTACAGCCACACATACCCCCACTACAGCCACGCAGAACCCCACTACAGCCACGAGGACCACCACTACAGTCTCACAGACCCCCACTACAACCACGCAAACCCCTACTACAGTCTCACAGACCCCCACTACAGCCACACAGACCCCCACTACAACCATACAGACCCCCCCACTACAACCACGCAGACGCCCACTACTACCATGCAGACCCCCATAACAACCACGCAGACCCCCACTACAGCCACGCAGACCCCCACTTCAGCCACATAGACCCCCAACACAGCCACACAGACCCCCACTACAGCCACAGAGACTCTCACGACAGCCACGCAGACCCCACTACAACCACGCAGACCCCTGCTACAACCACACAGACCCCCACTACAGCCTCACAGACCCCCACTACAACCACACAGACCCCCACTACAGCCACTCAGACCCCCACTACAACCACACAGAACTCCACTACAGCCACGCAGACCCCCACTACAGCCACACAGACCCTCACTACAGCCACACAGACCCCCACTACAGCCACAGAGACCACCAC